CTGCCCTTAGACACAACATACATACAAATAGATGGTATCATTAAGGTGTAAAATTAAGACACAAGAGATAAAAGTAAAGTGGCTAAGGGTGTTAATCATTTCGTTGTCCATTCCCCCTAAATTAACCCTTTCACTGTCCATCGCTTCGAACTATGCAATGAAGGCCAGGATCCTTGACGCAGTTCTGTCATGAGCTCAGCTCAATCACATAAAGCTATGAGCGGTAAATTTTGGCCTAGATACGAGAGAATGAATCTGCAGCAAGAATGTACCATATAAAAAATCCAGCCCCCACAGTGTATAAGAAAAAAAAAATGACCATGTTTATGGTTTAAAATGGCAATTGTGATTTTTCTCGGATGGTATTTATGATTTTCCTGTCTGTTTCTTGGTGCCATTTAATAGAATGAAGGACATTTTATTGAAATAAAGATGATTTTTTATTTGCTTTGGGATTGGAAGTACAGTGGTACCTCGGTATACAAACAGCTCCCAACTCGAACAATTATGTAAGTGTATTTTTTTAAGTGCTTTTGTAAGTGTATGTTTGGGGGTTTGAAACGGATTAATCTAATTTACATTAATCCTTATGGGAACAAATTTGTTCGGTATCAGCACTCGAACAGCCTTCTGGAACGAATTAAGTTCATAACCCAAGGTACCACTGTAGTTTGAAATTTATCTCAAAAGGGAAATGTGTGATTTTTGCCGATGCTCCAAAGGACAAGTAGGGACCCCCTGCAATCCCCAGTCTATTTTGTGGCTTTTAATGGGTTGGACTCAATTACTGGGACACTGTAAACTATGAGCAATCTTTCCTGGTTATATTTCATGTGGTTATATTTTAGTTTGCGTAATTAACCTAAAAAGACTTAGGTGAATTATGTACTTTATTCCTGGGTCCTACTGCAACATGACTGAGAACTATATCATCCAAAATTGACTTTGGATGTTCATCCAAACTTAATGTAACCCAACTTTACCTAACGTAACCCATCCAAATCTAATATACAACATAATGATAATCTCATTACTTCTGGGGGGAAAAAACATGATCTGGATTGAGAAAGTGATAAAAGAGTGAATGGTAGTTACTGGGTGGTGTGTGCCAGTAAGTCATCCATGCCAAGTTGGCAGTTCACTGCATTAATTTCCACATCATCAGTGCATTTCCCAAGTTGTGGATAAGGATTTGTTGTTGCTAGCATGTACTGCTGATGGGGTTCTGTCCCAGGAATAAAGTACATAACCAAAAAAATAATTCTGAGAAATCTTGAAAACACACTTACGGGCAATACTCTATTTTCTCCAGATCATAAATATGGACAAATGTGCTGGAAAATATAGAGAAGGATGATCCCACATATCAAAAACCTTGGTTATTACTGACAAATCCCCTTGCCCTAATTCAGCACTACTTACCTTTGAAGAGTTTTGAGAGTTTAACTACTCTCAGAGCCTGGCCATGGGCCAGGCTCATCCAGTTATTGCCTGATCAACCAGACTGTTGCTGCTGGAGGCCTGCTGCCCCACATATCCATCACAGCCTGGTTGATCTGGCACCTTATGTAGATACTTGTCCAGTTTCCTCTTGAAGGCTTCTACACTTGTTGCAGCCATGTTTCTGATATTTTCTGGTAAGATGTTGAATAGTCTGGGACCCTGGATGTTGATACAGTGTTCTCTTATTGTCCCGACCGCACCCCTGCTCCTCACCGAGTTTATTTTACACTTCCTCCCATATCTCTCACTCCAGTATGTTGTTATGGTGTATATTATCATTTCTCTCTCTCTCTCCTCCGCTCCAATGAGTACGTGTTCAAGACTTGAAGGCATTCCCAGTAATTTAGGTGCTTTACTGGCTGAATGCGAGCCATAAACGATCTCTGTATTTGTTCCAGCTCTGATATTTCTCCTGCTTTGAAAGAGGCCATCAGCACTGAGCAATATTCTATACGAGGGAGCACTAGCGATTCGAAGTGTCACCATCGGCATTATTTCCCTTATTTTGATAGTTCTCAATACCCACCCTGTCATCTTCCTGGCTGTTGTGATCTTTGTCTTGCTATGTTCCTTAAAAGAAAGGTCAGATGACGTAATTATTCCCAGGTTTTTTATATGTTCCTTTCGTTCTATCTGGTGACCCTCTTGAGTTTTGTGTATAGTGTTCCTTTTGAGTTCTTCATTCTTTTCATATCTAAGCAGCTGGAATTTATCCCCACTGAATGTCCTGCTGTTCTCCACTGCCACTGGAAAACCCTGCTTATGTCTTCCTGTAATTTTTCAGTGTCCTCTACCATACTGACTTTCATGCTTATTTTAGTGTCATCTGCAAATGATGATACAAAAGTGTTATGGATGTTTAGATCTATGTCTGCCATAAGGATGAAAAACAGCAGAGGCACCAGGACAGTGCCTTGGAGCACTGAGCTTTTGACCTCGCTGATGCTGGATCTTGCTCTGTTTACTACTGGTGTTCCATGTGATGGGAACCCGAAAATCCTTCTGCCTACCTTCCCCGTAATGTCCATGGCCCTCATTTTGTGAGCTATCACTCCATGATCGCATTTGTCAAACGCCTTTATAAAATCTGTGTAAATCACATCTGCATTTTTGTCTTCTTCCAATACTTCTGTAATTCTGTCATAATGGTTCAGCAGCTGTGACAGGCATGATTGTCCTGCTCTAAAACCATGCTGGTTTGGGTTATGCTGGTTGTGCTGGTCCATGAAATTTGTAATCTGCTGTCTCATCACTCTTTCGAAGATTTTTATTATTTGAGAAGTTTGGGCTGCTGGTCTGTAATTTTTAGCTAGTGCTCTACTACCTCCCTTATGCAAAGGAGCTATGTCTGCACTCTTTAAGGCCTCTGGTATTTCACCTAATTGAAGTCACCCAAACTAATGTGGTTGTGCAGGAAACAAGCATATCTGTTATGGAAATTGTTATTTATGGGCACAAGCAATAATAAAATGAATAAATAATAATAATGTAAATTGGCAATGGTTGGTCACTGGTCACAGCCTCACCACCAGCACCCACAAGGTCCATCCCACTATCTTTCATCACAACCTAACATAGAATAAACAGTAACAGAGGAAGTGATGAAAGACACCGGTTGGTAGCATGAGCCATTGTTGGTGGCAAGGCAGTGACCAAGCTGCCCACCACCATCATGTCGTTAAAGGTATGATTATTATTGCATTATTATGGCTATGTTGATAACAACAACATCCATGACAGAAAACCATGTTGCCTGCATAATCACATCAATTTGGGATGATTTCACTGAAGAAATAGTGTTGAACTGGGACAAGAAAATTTTGTCCACATTGCCCAAAACCTTTCCTATGAAGACAGACTGAAAGCACTGAATACTCACTCTGGAAAGATGTAGAATTTGGGGATACGACAGAAGTGTATAAATGGAAAACAGGAAAAAAAAAAAAAACATAAATAAGGTGCTGAACACTAGGCAAGTTTTGACTGAGAAAGAATATTAGGGAAGTATTAGTGTGGCAAGAGTTGTAGATGAGTGGAACAAACTTCCTAATATCATCACTTATGCAAGAGCATTTTGTCATTTTAAATATAAGTTGTCCAGGCACAGGAGTGGGTGTGGTTGGGTGGGAACTGGACTTATTTAACACTGGCCACATGGCCTACTGCAGTGCTCCACTATTATATATATATATATGCGCTTACAAGAAGTGTATAATGTAGATTTAACCCTGGAAAACCCAAGCAAGCCATTGGAGTCACTTTATTATTATTACAATCATGGGGGGAGCATTAAACCCGTAGGATTATACAGCGCCTGGGGGGGATGGAAGGTATTCAGGCTCAATTCAGGGAACCAGAGCACAGATCCAATTCCCTAGATTAAGAGCCCCTCACCAACATCAAGGAACCTCCCTTGAGGGGTGGAGTCACTTAAAAGATAGGAACAAAAATTTAGCCACAACAGGCCTGTTGGCCCATTTTTCCCTAAAAGGTGGTTCCTTTATGCCAATGAAGGACTCCTGACCCAAGGAAATGAACGTGTTCCCCCATTCTTTAACTAGAATGACTCCCATTCCTCCCCAGGCAGTGTATGCCCAGTTTTATGCTCTCATGAATGTAATTATATTGGCCTATTTATGACAACTCTTGACCTAACCCGGATTATCCATTAGTAATTTAATCAATGAACTCAAATTAATATTCACGAAAAAGGCGCCAAAGCCGTATGGGTTATTCAACACTACAAAACCGATACTAAAACAAAACTCCGAGATTTTAGTTGGTAACTCCATTAAGGCAACAGTATGACACATGTCACTTAATAAAACAATATGAAATAGCTCGAGTCAGGTATTACAAGCATTACGCACAAAATGCAGTGGTTACAAAAATTGTAAAAAGTACTTTTATGAATTTTCACAAGTTATTCAATAAGTAAGGAGCATGACGAGAGAACAGAGCAGCGTGATATATGAGAGAAGCGAGACTTTATGGACATAAAGAAGAGTAGAGAGAGAGAGATAGAGATGAGCAAGTGAAGTCCCGTGACTGCACACTACCACTCCTCGCTCCATGCTGTCTCCACCCCGACCAAAATAAACACATTCCACTGTCATTGCGCATTATTTCATCACAGGGAGAGCGGTTGGGACTCGGGAAGTAAGGCCTGATATCCAGCTGCAGCCACTTGACAGGTGTTTTCGAGCGGGAAACACGCACATGGCAGCGTTTCAAGTTTTAACATGGCCGTCGCTTTGTTCCCAACACCACCCTCCAACCCACCTCCATCTTCATCCCTACGCCCTTACTACTCACCTTCCGCTTCTCTAGATTTCGAATCTTTTTCTCTACGAGGCTCATTACTTTCTGGAAGGGGTCAAGGGTCTCTTGAGACCCTTGTTTTTCCAATTTCACGGAGGCAGAAGGCATTCTTCACAGGGCAACTTTTCTGGTGATCTTTCTCTTACGCACTGCACCCCTGTGCCCTCCGCCATTACTGGAACCATGTTGCCATTCGTCTCGTTTACTTAACTCTCCGAGAAAACCCAATATCATTATCATTAGAGTTCCTCTTAATATTTGCTAAATATTTCACATTTATCCCGTTTTCGTTAAATCTCTTATTTTGATGGCATTAAGACTCATTTCTTATTTTAAAATAGTTTGGCCTTGCTTGATAAAGCTCGCTGGCGGCGGTATACTCAAAACCCGGTTTATCATTATGTCACTAGCAAACTTTAATCCTATATTTGATAAACTGGCTTTTTATTAGTACTGCTACCGTTTCCTCACAATAATCTTTCATTAAAAGTCCAAAAAATATCAAAAAAATTCGTAAATAGGATATTTACTTAGACTAACACACTGGGTCAATGAAAATGTCTAATAACCGTTCACAATGTCGTGTAGTGGAGAATAAATCATTGCAATGAGTCCCTAGAAAGTTAATAAACAACGATAAGAACATAATGATAAAGGGGTACCGCAGTAGGTACTTTATGTAACTTCTGTTGACGAGTATACACCGAGAGCAGCAGTGTATATACACCTGGAGGGCTGTATATCTCACCTAAGGTCTACTTCAAACTTCCCATATTAGGAAATAAAGTATCCTTGATTGGTAGTGTACTGATAACAGACTTAATGACACTCTTGTAGTTGATAAGGTTTAATCCTAATAAAAAGAAAGTAGGACTACTAGTCCATGTTGAGGTCTTACTGCCACCCACCCATTCCAGCTGTTCCCACTCATAAGATAAGATAAGATTTCGTTCGGATTTTTAACCCCGGAGGGTTAGCCACCCAGGATAACCCAAGAAAGTCAGTGCGTCATCGAGGACTGTCTAACTTATTTCCATTGGGGTCCTTAATCTTGTCCCCCAGGATGCGACCCACACCAGTCGACTAACACCCAGGTACCTATTTGCTGCTAGGTGAACAGGACAACAGGTGTAAGGAAACGTGTCGAAATGTTTCCACTAGCCGGGAATCGAACCCGGGCCCTCCGTGTGTGAAGCGGGAGCTTTAGCTACCAGGCCACCAGGTCCAATTCCTTAGATCAAGACCCCCCTCACCAACATCAAGGAACCTTCCTTGAGGGGAATTCATGCAATAATAATTCTAAATATTATTTTTTCTCTTTTTTTATTAACATATTAGTCCATCTTCCCCACTCATTACACTGAATGACCCAAATGAGTTTTTTGTTTCACATTAATAATAAAACTGGGTCGGATTTAGGTATGGGCCTTCACCAAAAGGGCTCGACCACTAAAGGTAAACAAAAAAAATCCCCATAAATAGGCGTAAAATGTTACCAAAATATACAATACTCATGCTGATTATATGCAGTTAAAAATATCTAAAATAATATTAGATTAATGGTCCCAACCTTTTTACAGCTGGGTCACAGTTTACAACACTTTCAGAATCATAAGTCAAAGTTCAAAGTTGCCACCTGAGAAAAGGTGATCAGAACTTTCAGAAACATCCTAGTGAGCACTGAGTTTACCTGGAGTTTACCTGGAGAGAGTTCCGGGGGTCAACGCCCCCGCGGCCCGGTCTGTGACCAGGCCTCCTGGTGGATCAGAGCCTGATCAACCAGGCTGTTGCTGCTGGCTGCACGCAAACCAACGTACGAGCCACGGCCCGGCTGGTCAGGAACCGACTTTAGGTGATTGTCCAGTGCCAGCTTGAAGACTGCCAGGGGTCTGTTGGTAATCCCCCTTATGTATGCTGGGAGGCAGTTGAACAGTCTCGGGCCCCTGACACTTATTGTATGGTCTCTTAACGTGCTAGTGACACCCCTGCTTTTCATTGGGGGGATGTTGCATCGTCTGCCAAGTCTTTTGCTTTCGTAGCGAGTGATTTTCGTGTGCAAGTTCGGTACTAGTCCCTCTAGGATTTTCCAGGTGTATATAATCATGTATCTCTCCCGCCTGCGTTACAGGGAATGCAGGTTCAGGAACCTCAAGCGCTCCCAGTAATTGAGGTGTTTTATCTCCGTTATGCGCGCCGTGAAGGTTCTCTGTACATTTTCTAGGTCAGCAATTTCACCTGCCTTGAAACGTGCTGTTAGTGTGCAGCAATATTCCAGCCTAGATAGAACAAGTGACCTGAAGAGTGTCATCATGGGCTTGGCCTCCCTAGTTTTGAAGGTTCTCATTATCCATCCTGTCATTTTTCTAGCAGATGCGATTGATACAATGTTATGGAGTCAGGAATCGCGGGAAGAACTAAAAGCCATAAATGAAATCGAAAGAAACCCAAAGTATTTCTTCTCCTATGCCAAATCAAAGTCGAGAACAACATCCAGTATTGGGCCCCTACTTAAACAAGATGGGTCCTACACAGATGACAGCAAGGAAATGAGTGAGCTACTCAAGTCCCAATATGACTCAGTTTTTAGCAAGCCGCTAACCAGACTGAGAGTCGAAGATCAAAATGAATTTTTTATGAGAGAGCCACAAAATTTGGTTAACACAAGCCTATCCGATGTTATCCTGACGCCAAATGACTTCGAACAGGCGATAACTGACATGCCCATGCACTCTGCCCCAGGGCCAGACTCATGGAACTCCGTGTTCATCAAGAACTGCAAGAAGCCCCTATCACGAGCCTTTTCCATCCTATGGAGAGGGAGCATGGACACGGGGGTCGTCCCACAGTTACTAAAAACAACAGACATAGCCCCACTCCACAAAGGGGGCAGTAAAGCAACAGCAAAGAACTACAGACCTATAGCACTAACATCCCATATCATAAAAATCTTTGAAAGGGTCCTAAGAAGCAAGATCACCACCCATCTAGAAACCCATCAGTTACACAACCCAGGGCAACATGGGTTTAGAACAGGTCGCTCCTGTCTGTCTCAACTATTGGATCACTACGACAAGGTCCTAAATGCACTAGAAGATAAAAAGAATGCAGATGTAATATATACAGACTTTGCAAAAGCCTTCGACAAGTGTGACCATGGTGTAATAGCGCACAAAAATGCGTGCTAAAGGAATAACAGGAAAAGTCGGTCGATGGATCTATAATTTCCTCACTAACAGAACACAGAGAGTAGTCGTCAACAGAGTAAAGTCCGAGGCAGCTACGGTGAAAAGCTCTTGTTCCACAAGGCACAGTACTCGCTCCCATCTTGTTTCCTCATCCTCATATCCGACATAGACAAGGATGTCAGCCACAGCACCGTGTCTTCCTTTGCAGATGACACCCGAATCTGCATGACAGTGTCTTCCATTGCAGACACTGCAAGGCTCCAGGCGGACATCAACCGAATCTTTCAGTGGGCTGCAGAAAACAATATGAAGTTCAACGATGAGAAATTTCAATTACTCAGATATGGTAAACACGAGGAAACTAAATCTTCATCAGAGTACAAAACAAATTCTGGCCACAAAATAGAGCGAAACACCAACGTCAAAGACCTGGGAGTGATCATGTCGGAGGATCTCACCTTCAAGGACCATAACATTGTATCAATCGCATCTGCTAGAAAAATGACAGGATGGATAATGAGAACCTTCAAAATTAGGGAGGCCAAGCCCATGATGACACTCTTCAGGTCATTTGTTCTATCTAGGCTGGAATATTGCTGCACACTAACAGCACCTTTCAAGGCAGGTGAAATTGCTGACCTAGAAAATGTACAGAGAACCTTCACGGCGCGCATAACGGAGATAAAACACCTCAATTACTGGGAGCGCTTGAGGTTCCTGAACCTGTATTCCCTGGAACGCAGGCGGGAGAGATACATGATTATATACACCTGGAAAATCCTAGAGGGACTAGTACCGAACTTGCACACGAAAATCACTCACTACGAAAGCAAAAGACTTGGCAGACGATGCAACATCCCCCCAATGAAAAGCAGGGGTGTCACTAGCACGTTAAGAGACCATACAATAAGTGTCAGGGGCCCGAGACTGTTCAACTGCCTCCCAGCACACATAAGGGGGATTACCAACAGACCCCTGGCAGTCTTCAAGCTGGCACTGGACAAGCACCTAAAGTCGGTTCCTGACCAGCCAGGCTGTGGCTCGTACGTTGGTTTGCGTGCAGCCAGCAGCAACAGCCTGGTTGATCAGGCTCTGATCCACCAGGAGGCCTGGTCACAGACGGGCCGCTGGGGCGTTGACCCCCGGAACTCTCTCCAGGTAAACTCCAGGTAATGGTCCTTGAAGGTGAGATCTTCCGACATGATCACTCCCAGGTCTTTGACGTTGGTGTTTCGCTCTAGTTTGTGGCCAGAATTTGTTTTGTACTCTGATGAAGATTTAATTTCCTCGTGTTTACCATATCTGAGTAATTGAAATTTCTCATCGTTGAACTTCATATTGTTTTCTGCAGCCCACTCAAAGATTCGGTTGATGTCCGCCTGGAGCCTTGCAGTGTCTGCAATGGAAGACACTGTCATGCAGATTCGGGTGTCATCTGCAAAGGAAGACACGGTGCTGTGGCTAACATCCTTGTCTATGTCGGATATGAGGATGAGGAACAAGATGGGAGCGAGTACTGTGCCTTGTGGAACAGAGCTTTTCACCGTAGCTGCCTCGGACTTTACTCTGTTGACGACTACTCTCTGTGTTCTGTTAGTGAGGAAATTATAGATCCATCGACCGACTTTTCCTGTTATTCCTTTAGCACGCATTTTGTGCCCTATTACGCCATGGTCACACTTGTCGAAGGCTTTTGCAAAGTCTGCATATATTACATCTGCATTCTTTTTATCTTCTAGTGCATTTAGGACCTTGTCGTAGTGATCCAATAGTTGAGACAGACAGGAGCGACCTGTTCTAAACCCATGTTGCCCTTTGGGTTGTGTAACTGATGGGTTTCTAGATGGGTGGTGATCTTGCTTCTTAGGACCCTTTCAAAGATTTTTATGATGTGGGATGTTAGTGCTATCGGTCTGTAGTTCTTTGCTGTTGCTTTACTGCCCCCTTTGTGGAGTGGGGCTATGTCTGTTGTTTTTAGTAACTGGGACGAC